CGCCCCCGGAAAATCCCGACCGGGACCACCGGGCAAACCGGGACGACAGGGCATCCCAGGTAAGTCGCTTCAAAAATGCAACGAAGGAAAAGAAAAAAAAGGCATCATAGTGCCCGGAAACAAATGGCACAGGCCCTTACGATAGACATGAAATTTACCATTTTCGTAAATCACAGGTTTCGAAGGTTGCTGTTATGTGAACGCGGGTGCATATTATACTAGCGTCGGCATGGGAGAAGATGAGAACGTGAGGTGGACGTCGACGCGCCGACCTCTCGTAGGAAGATGCTGGGTAGAGGTGAACTTGGCGTCTGCCCCCCCCCCCCCCCCCCCCCAATCCTCCCAATCAGAACACGGTGTTCTGACGTCACCGTGTGCTCTTGTCCCCTCCTCTCCCTCAGTTTCCCCCCGCATAGCGTGAAGACCTGTCATGGTCGCTCGTGAGTTCGTGGAATGCGAGCAAGTTTTCGTGCCCCAAAAAACTCTGGAACCGCGAATTTCGAAAATGGTGGAGACGTCTGTGTGTGTCCTTTCGCTTTCCTCTTGTTCGCATAATACATAAATTAAAAAAAAAAAATTTTTTTTGTTGCATGTTAGGTTGATATCAAGCGTCGTCGCTTTGCTTTTGGCATTTCTGCATGTCACCTCGCGCGGAAAGTGCACCTGCGAAACTGGTCGGTGAAATTTCCAGTGAAATATTTTGTTACTGTCTTTTGATGGACCTCTTACGGCGAGGTAGGTTAGAGAGTTTGCTGAAATTATGGTGACTTTATAAGGTCAGTGATTAAATCCTTTTATTTTTTGCTTAATAATAAGACACCCTGTTGTGATGGAAACTTAAAGAGTGAAGTAATCAGTCGGCCTATCAAGAATACTTCCGCGACGCGTGTTGAAAGATCCAACTATTTCACTCTTACTGGGTTTTCTTTTATATTTTTAATTCTTTTTCCAGCACTGTTCTTCTTGGGGATGTTCCTTGCTTACTGTGACATCATCTTCCATTTCATCTGAGCGGTCTTATCTTTTTGTGATTAGTCATGGAAGTTCTTTTTATATCGATGTAGACGTGGTTTGTACCAGGCATTGAGTAAGTTACCCCATTTCGTCCTTGCTTCAAGTGTCCTCCTTTGTCACTAAAACAATATATTTCCAATTGATGTGGTAGAATACTATAGGTGCATAAACTATGGTGCCGCCTGAAGTGGTGTCATCAAAATCTCGAGCACTCAAACTCCCGTCTTTTGTTTAACGTTTGCAAAGTGTTTTTTTTTCTTCTTTGCGCGAGCATGTGGCTTTGGCTAGATTACTTCGGCACGTGGTCGTAGCTGTAAGTGTCACAAAAGACATCTCCACCCTGATACAGCGACATTCAGCCTCCCGTATAAGTTATTGAAAATATCCACAATGTCTATCGTACTTCTACGTTTGGTTGAAAAGCGTGGGGCGTAAGCACTGGTGTAATACCCATTGAGTTCTTAGGCACGCCGTGCTTTATTACGAGAAGTTACATCGAGGCGTTAACGATTCTTGTCCCTAGGGAATCGAAGCAGGCACCTTTGGGGTTACCGACACATGCATGCCTCTGCCGAATTTCATCGATCCTAGTATTTCCAGATATGGCCGACTTGTGGGAGCCAAATAAGTGAGGGTGCTAAGTGTGGCTGCGTTGACTACAGGACAGGGTTATCACGACGTGAAACTTCGTTATTATTGATCTTCTACTGGGTGTATGTATCTGAAAGGCGTCGACTAGTACTTGGAGGTCGTCGTTTGCAAACATGAAATTCTCTCACATTCGGCATCTCGTTCCAACACCACCTACCCAGGCAGCACAAAACGTCGTGGAAACGTCGAGAAAAAGTCCCGGACGTCCGTGACGTCCCGCATGACTTCGATCACGTTTTTTCGACGTTGAGGTGACGTCCTTATATAACGTTTCATTAGAGTCCAATCAGTGACGTTGTGACGACGTTGTATTTCAACTCAAACGTCGTCAACGTTCCCACGACGTCGATGCACGACGTTCTCACAACGTCTAACGCTCACGTTTCTTTGACGTTGAACTGAAGTTCATAAATGACGTCCCATTATCGTCCTGTCCGTGACGTGCTGGCGACGTCACGTTTCAACTTTAACGTCGTCATCGTCGCCACGACGTCAAGACAAGACGTTTTAACAACGTCGAACACTCACGTGTCTTCAAGGTTAAAATAAAGTACAGAATGACGTTACATTATTGCCCCGTCAGTGACGTTTCTGCGACGTTGCGTTCACACCTAAATGTCGTAAACGTCATACAAGACGTGCTGGCAACGTCGACCACTCACGTTTTGTTTGTCGTTTTTAGATTTTCCAGCTCAATTTCCAGCCGCAGAATCAGTGTGGTCAAGGTGACAGCGCTCAAGAGCCGCAAACAAAACTTAATTTTTGAGAGGTTGAGAAGTTTAATTATTCATGAATTAATTTGCGTATTTCAAAAAGCTATTAATTGCACATCGATGACGCTAAAGAGGGCATTTACAAAACTAAATGTACACGGAAGAAAAAAAATAGTATGAAAGCATGTTGGGAATATCATTCCTTTTAGATGTGCTTGTTATAATTTTGGTTAGTTTAAAATATTGTTACGGGTTTAATTTGCGAAGCCCATGGCATCTAGAACGGATCGAATTGTACCATTCTTGTATTTTGCACGCGCGTGGTCGTCTTCCATGGGTCCTGGGCCCTGGCACGCGCCTCAGGGGCGCCGCTACACTATCCCCTCTCCAGGTGGCTTCAGGCCTGCATCCTTTCCTAGGAGCATCCATACTGCTCCGCGACCGCCCGCTCGAGATTGTTTTAAGGTTCGTCGTTTTTTCTTCGTGTTTTGTAACCGATGCTCACTTGCGCACAAAAAAAAAAAAAAAATTTGCATCAACATCACAGTTCATCCATAACACCAACTTCCAGCGCCTTAGCGCTTTCGGTAGATCGGGGCGCAGTCTTGTCACGTGACTGTCAGTACAGATCTGGCTTTCGTTGCCACTGGTGACGTATCCAAACGAAAATCGCATGCCAGCACACAGTATATCAGAGCACAACACAGCACACTTGCGCATTTTCGGAGTTGACTCAAAAAAATAAAAAATAAATAAAATGCCCGGCAATGACGCAATCCGGTAGATACTGTCAACGGTTTGTGGAAATTGACATTCATGATGCCAACCTCTGAATGGCCCAGATGACGGTCCAAAAACCGTTCAAGCCCAGTCCGCACTTACGTGCCGAAAAAAAAAAAGAAAAACACACAACCAAAAAGAAAGAAAAAAAAAAGAAAGAGAAAAAAAACAGCCTGCACGGCGCGAGAGAGAGGGGGAAAGGTAAGCAGAGGAGATGGCATCTCCATAGAGCCCCATGCGATGCGTCGGGAAACTCGGCAAGAAGAGGGCGAGAGAGAAAAGTGGGGAAAGTTAGCGACGACGAACAATTGACAAGCCTAAGTTCCGGGGGCACGTATTTTCGCAGTCGTTCCCAAAATATTTCACTGAATGTTCTGTTCTTCGAATTCGCCCAGAGAGAACAGCTCTGGGACCCGGTCCAGCTTTTTCCGAAAGCCAGTCACTAGCACCGGCCGTCACGTCTACGGGTCTACGAGGCAAGCTGCTATGTCGCCGTGATATTTTGTTTTCGAGTCTGCATACAGTATAAGCGCTGCGATTGGATGAGTCGTTCAATTCGCCCCCATGAAGAAGTCGGTGATCGCCAAAAACGCCGTCGTATTCAGTCACGGCTCGAGGACCTTTTTCAAGGCCATAACGCTTCACACGTTGAATCGTACTACTGCTCGGATCAAGGTGCCTGTGAGGATATGAATGACGCCCCCCCAGAAAACAAGTGGCAGTGCACATAACGGCGCGTCAAGTCCAGTCTCCGATCAAGACCCTTCAGACGCCTCCGAAGATCCCAATCATGAACGCCCAGCGGACGGGATCCCCCTTCTGAAACCATTCCCGTGCACGCAGCGAGAGTACCAGCTACGCGCAATGGGACGGCTAAAGCACGCGCGTCAGCGCATTAATCAGAAGCAGAACGAGGTAAGCGGCGGAACATTCCGCGCCGCGTGACATCGTCTCTTGTTCATTTATTTACGTGAATTTGTTTGTTCTTTTATATCTTTGAGGCTGGCACATCCAGGGGCCTCTTTTGGAGGCGCTCCGCTCCGTATTGCATTTCGTGTCTGAACATGCTCAAATAAACAGTTCGTACCAAACCTGTGTTTTAGTTACTTCCTTCGTACATGCATGATAGCAACTTGCCTTCGCAATAATACTAAAAAAATACTTTTTTTTTTGGAGGGGGGGGGGGGGGGGGGACACAACGTTTTCCCACGACGGCTAGGGAACGTAATTTGGAAAGGTTTCTCGACGTTCTGTGAACGTCGTTGGTAGTCCGGATGTCGTAAATACACGTATCATAAACGTCGAGGGAGGACGCAACGGCGCACTGAGACGTGCATGTGACGTGCAACAAACGTCAGTTGGAACGTCCCCTCGACCTTCTGTGCACCTTTACTCGCGGACATTTAAAGGTTTCATCGACGTCGAAGGAAGGTAACGTCCGGACCTTCGACGTTTTACGACGTCACGTTACAGACGTCTTCAACGTTCTTTCGACGTTTTCTTCACGTTTATGTGCTGCTTGGGTAGATAGGAAGCCGCAGTGTTCAATCGGCCAGCGCGAGACATATATTGGACGTAGCGCTACGGATGGATTGATGGATAGATACTGACGGCTCAATAGCTGTACCCAGCTAGGCTAGGTGACTTGCACCACCTCTGCTACGGCTTTCTATTTAATCAGTGTTGCTTGTTCTCTGCCCGCTAGACTTCGACGCAATATTTAAAAAAAATATATTACTAAGAAAATGCATGTCTTACGCACTTATTCTTTTAAAAGCAGCTTGCATAATCGTCGCATGTTTCTATTAATAGTAACTTATATGACATTTACCACCCTATCAGGGGACCCCGGAACACCAGGACTTCCTGGAGAACGAGGTTTCATGGGACTTCCAGGACTGCCTGGACCACAGGGACAGTCCGGACCAACTGGTAAGTTTTCGAAAATCCAGCGTCACGATTTCACGCCAGCCATGAGGTGATCAACAAGCACGAAACACGACTGGTGGCAGCAATGGACCTAGTATAATTCCGAAGAACAAGGGCCATTATTTTTATTGTTACAAATGTGAGAAACCAAACAGGTTGTGAACACTTATGCCACAAAGACTTTGACCTCTCTCTTTAAACGTCTCTATTAACGAGGAGATCGTACCGTACACACCAAAGGCTTTGGTGTGTATGGTACGATCTCCTCGTCAGTAGAGGAGTTTAAAGGGAGAGATCAAAGTCTTTGTGGCATAAGTGTTCACAACCTGTCTACAAACGTGCACACGCGTTTGCCCACACCAGGTGTGGACACCGCGTGTGCGCGGAAACCAGAGTCGCGTGAAATGAAGCTTCTGCGCATGCGCAGGCAGACAGCAGCGCCACCGCAGTGGAGTCACGTCAGAGAGTTGAGTTTGCGCATAGAGGGCGCTTTGACCAGCCTCTTTTCCACAGAGCCCGGTTTAACTCAGAAGCTCCACAGAGCTTCTTGAGTTGAACACGATTAGAGCATCGGCGTTCAAATGGGACTCGTGCCCAGTCGGTGTTTGATTAGAGAGTTTTAGTAGATTGTTCCGATACCCCCGATAACGATACGACGCTTGCGCATGGGCGGCGGCGGAGCACCGGGTATCGTAATCGGAGTCATCGGGACAATCGACTAAAACTCTCTATTGATTGAACAGGAGCCCCTGGCCCAACTCGGCATCAGAGTCACGAGCAAACAATTCATATTGTTCTTAAAGTTAGACGCCAAAAACAACTAGGACACAAGAAGAGATGCAGACTGGACAACGAGAACAGAAAAAGAGATGCAGACTGAACGCCTCGTCCAGTCTGCTTCTCTTCTTGTGTCCTCATTGTTCTTGGCATGTAACTTTAAGGATGAACAGAAAACTAGCCCAACTAGCCGTCTTACTTCATATTGTTGTTGTCCCAGCGGGTAATAGTTCTCAACTTAGCCACTCGAAACATCCACAGTTTAATATATTTAAGAGTGGAAACCACAATCTAATCAATTTAGGAGGGGAAACGCAAACAATACACGCAGAGATAGTGGTCAGTTTGAGAGCGTTACTCAACTGTTTCATCTGTTGGTTTCTTCGTAATGTCGTTTTTCGTCTTGTGAATACAAGAGGGAAGAACGATGCAAGACGCAACTGATGCTGGCATTCTTTCCTCTTTACGAAAATAATAAGAAAAAAAAAACGGTAATCTAAAACCAAAAAGATGATAGTTTGAACTGTTCTCAAACTTCGAGCACGCTGGCTGTGCTTCATTTTAACGCCGATAACCGATCATTAAAGCCGGGGTTACCCTGCTCATACATATCCAAACAGTTTGCAAGCACAAGTCACCGCAATGTCCCTGGTTCGAATGCCGCGTGCCAAGCTTTCCCCTTGAACTCATTGCCATGCGGCATTCGAAGCACGGCTATCGCGGTGACTCGCCTTCGAATCTGTTTGTGCAGACTGTATTTTGTATGATGTACAAGCAGTACGACCCCGGCTTTACATTCAGTACTTCTTGAAATACGGGCGGTTTGACTGACCACGACCCCCTGAGACAGATACATACATATTTGCTTTCTGCATGCATGTGACGAGAGAGTCGTCACTTAGACTGATGCAAAAAACACTCGATTTTTCCGGCATTTAGTGATCACCAGAGATGTGATCTACTAACGATTTCCCTCATTCCGTACACACCGCAGGTGAAAAGGGTGACAAAGGTGATCGTGGCCCCGAGGGAATCGGAATGGAAGGACCCATAGGACCTCATGGATCCCCGGGTAAGAGACGTACACACAGCGATATGTACCCAAATATAAGGTGATATTACTTGATGGGTATCAGTGCTTACTTTTCTCAATAGGAATGAAGAGCCATTAGCATCATTTCGCGATGTCGAAGTGAATCAAATGGATATATTTACAAATGTTACCGAAATTTTCAGGCGGATTGACGAATTGGACCTGCCAGGTTTTGAAACGTTTTCTGAATCGCCACAGACAATCCTAACAATCTAAGATCAATATCGTTTTGATCTTATTACTCGCAAGTGCTTTTTTTGGTTAGTTAAATAGCTACATTCTTTACAGGACATGAAAATAAAGTAATGCTAGTCGATGGAAAGAATAACATCTACTCATCGCTGTACGCGTTTTAGAACAATAAGTGAAATATTCGACATTTTGCAGGCCGCAGCTTTCGCTCAAACTCAAAACACTGGTTACTACGAATCTCCTAGTGCATTCTATCTCGAACACCTGGTCAGACCCAAAATAATTTTTAAAAAAATATTGGCATCGACTTTTAACTTGCGAAGTCTTAAAAAGCACGAAATTCAGTACTTAAAGGGACCATGAAAATATTTTTTGGCTGGGATAAATTGGGATTTTTCTAATCGTATATAATCGCGCGCGGCTGGGAGGCGCGCGCGACTGCGCCTATGCGCGCCGCGGAAATGGATTCGCTTTTGCGTGCTAGCACTGCAGACACCGGCCCAGGGTATAGCTCAGTCGGCAGAGGACTTAGTTCAGAATAAAAGAGGATCGGTAGCCGATTGGGATAACGCGTCTCAGCTCGGAGCGTGGAGCGAAAGCTTGCACTGCGGAACCTCCTGGGTTCGATCCCCACCCCCTGCCCATTTCGATTTGAATGAGCTTCGTACCGGCACGCGTTCGTGTAATCACTACTGCATGGTGCACTTTAAAGATCCCAGGTTAGCGGTTGTACTGCACTGGCTAAATTGCTCATCTGCAGCTAAAGACCTGTCACCCGTTGAGGCATAGTACTAGCATCAAGGGTGTCTAAACATGCAAGCAACACAGTTTTCTTGGCTCACAATCTCACGGTGGGGAGTTCAAACAGTGCCGGGGAGTGAAGTCTTCTTAATGGTTCCTTATGTATGGACATCACACTTTTCAGTGTCAGTTTTTCCTTCCAGCCGGCTGTTACAGCCAAACGTTACAGCCAAGCGTTACGGAACCATGCAAATAAGCTGATGAAACACATTTTGTGTTAAGCAAGTTGACTGCATGTTTGGTCATTCTGCCAAACGTATTTAAATGCGGTAGCTTCATAGGGTGGGTGGGGCTCTTTGTTCTTGTGGTGCAAGATGACCCCTTAGTCCTTCAGTGCCTGGGGGTGGTGTTCTTACTTCAGGTGGTGACTAGGGCAGGGTTCGTAAGGAACCAGATTACGTTACACCGTTCTCACTTAGCGACACTGAGCGCACTTCCCTTCGGCACCACCCGGATACAAAGCCTTTGCGCTGAACTTTCTGGATCACAAAGAGAGGGAACCTCGTCTTCCTACGCTTTCCAGTCCTCCTCGTTCCGCGCGCTCTCTCTACACCACCTGTTTGTGCCCCTGGTTCCGCGCTGTTTTCTTTTTTTTTTTTACCGAGCAGTTTGTGCTCCTGTCTTTCTTGCCCTTTCCACCTATCTTTGCTCCACACGCCTTCTCGCACCACTTGCCTCTGCTCTTCCCGTTCCTGCGTGCTGGGTCCGTAGCTCAGTTAACAGCGCCCTCAGCTTCCACGGCAGTGACTGGGGTTCAATCCCTGACAGCATGGTTACCGTTTTTTTTTAAACATCGTTTAACGGTTACTGATTGACCGACTTACTAATTTTATGCTTACGTGGCTTCTGAGATTTTTTGGTCCTATAAAGCTACCGCATTTGGAGATAGTGCGCAGCGCGTAAAATTTCAACGTTTACGCATGTGTAGTTTGTGGACTATAGTCCAGGATACACGGTGCCAATCCCGTTCTAGGATCTCCGGGGCCGTCCGGAATCGGCGTGCCCGGACGACCCGGGGAGCGGGGTCCTCCAGGGAGGCTTGGGGCTCCGGGACCTCGCGGACCTCCGGGAGTGCAGGGCCCGCCGGGCTACTGCGAGATGTGCAACTACGCCAGCGCCGACATCCTCAACATGCTGCACATGAACACCGTCCGGGAGAACAACAAGGGGCCCGGGAAGTGATCACGTGCCCAAGCTCGTGGCCTCCACAGAGTCCAAAGGTACGAATAAAGCCACCGAGAAAGCCGCTTGAAACCGCGGACTGCTCTATACACATGGTGCAGCCGTAAGGACCAGCGATTTCGGCACGCCTTGCAACATTTCAATTCCAAACGTACATTACCTGAAGCAGGGCACGCGGACGTCGTGTCGTAAAAAATTGTATGTCTATCTTTTTTTTTTTTTTTTTTTTTTTTTTTTTTATGGCTCAAGTCAGAGGTGATGAAATATTAAAAATAATGCAAAAACGGTGGCCCGTATATTTTCTATGTACTTTACCAGCTGTTCGTCACCTGCTCACTGGTTTGCGAGCTCGCTTCCGCGTGTTTTGCCGACTGCAAAGACTCCGAGAACGCCGATAGTAAAGGCTACCGACGAGCAGGGCAATGGCGATCAGTAATACTTCTCGCAAAATATACGAACGATGACTATCTGGGAGAAAGCTCGCAAACAGTGTACAGACAACGAATATCCTGTCTGGGACATTGAAAATGTATATACGGCCGCAGTTTTCGCCCTTTATTTAATATTTCACCAGCTCTAAGTAGACCTGTCACAAAAATCGTTTTTTTTCCTTGCTTTATTATTATTTCTTTATAATTTTTTTTTTGCGAAGCGACATTTGCGTGCTGCAGATTCCGGCATGTACGATCAGAATAAGAATTTCGCGAGGCGTGTTAAATGTGCTGATCGACCGCACCCTGTATATCGTATACTCAAAAGGCACAGTGCCGTCGCTGCAGACATGAATGACAGAATTACTTACGGGCACGCCACAAGCTTGCAAGAAGCGCTTTAACACACGTATTCTTCAAAAATGTCAAAAGGCACTGTTTGTGTGGCAAAATGTGACGTCATACGGGGAAGGAACACGCAGCGGTATAAGTGAATGTGTGTATATGTCACGCGACATCGTATCATGTCACGTCAATATTTCCGCTAAATTTAGCGCGGAAACTGAATTTGTGTATATGTCACGTGACATGAAGTCGTGGCATCATTTTATCGCTACATTTAGCAGGGAAACTGAATTGGTGGAGGTCACGTGACGTCAATCTTCAGGCTAAATCTTACGGGCAAGCTGAATTTGTGCATAGGTCAGGTTATATCAAGCGATGTGGCATCATTTTCCCCGCTAAATTTAGTTGGGAAAATCATCGGCTAGAAACATACCTCAAAGTGCCCTGAAGATCCTAAAGCCCGAGTCCCATCACTAGAACGACAAACAGAAACAAACGGCAGCGCAAGCTTCAAAACAAACCCCTTCGCGATTTGGTAGGCTTTGTAGAATAAAAGAGGCTATGCTCAAACCCTAGCATCATGCATGCGAGGGTAACTTTGGCAGGCTTGCAATCTTTCGTGCTTACTTCATGAGCACCGAATGACTAAACGCCTGTCAAAGGTACCATCGCGAGCATGTAGCATGTGTTTGAGGCTTTTCGCTGTCGTTTGTTTCTGTTCGTCGCTCTGGTGGGAATCGGGCATCAGAAAGCTAATCGTTTTAAAAATCGTGAATGTAGTCTTATACCCTCTTCAGTGCCTCTAGGCTCGAAAAAGCTTGTCAGAGCCGTCTTTTCTGGAACCACGCTCGGCAATTTTTCGGATAGCAACAAAAACTGGAAGCCTAACAAGAGAGGAATGTTGTGTTTCCACCGTTACCTTGTGTTGCTAAAGCATAACAAATTATGCGCGTCTCTCAATGAAGAAACACGTCATGAAGTGTTATAAGGAAGTCTACTTTTTTTAGCTGGCTAATCATTTTCCCATATAAACCACTCTGGCAGAACTTATCGCCGATCTCCCATTAAAGCGAGAATTATTGCTTTGCAGGCACGCTAGATGTATGCATTATTAGCAGCAGTTTCAAATCCTATGAGTAATCAACTGATCACAAACAGAACCAAAACATGATTGACAAAAATGATGTCTGAGGAGACATCTATTGATGTTTTAGACATTATTTTCGTCAATCAAGCCCTAAGCCAAATCGATTTGGCTTAGGGCTTGATCAGGTTTTCAATGATTCATATAGACGTTTAAATGCACTTTATTGTTTATTCCAAGTACATTGTAAGATCAAGGGAGCGTTGCACAAACCTGGAAAAGAAATATAAAAGGAGAATAAGTCTCCAAAGATGAATCTTCGCTTTATGGTGCATTTGTTACCCTTTAATTTTTACGTTCTTGTTTTCAGAAAAAAGAAACAAGCAGACAAGAAAGAGAATATCTTAACACCGTCCAAGCTGGAACCAGCCCATGGAAATGCTACTCTGGATGTGGACTGGGAATGTCGTCCGTTATTATGCTGCGGTTTAAGGTTTCTGCATTGGAGCACAAGGAAAAGTTTAGCTTCTGGTGAAATGATACCTAAAGCCGTTTTTTCGATGAGATTATGCCGGATATTGAAGGACATTCAATTCTAATAGAACACAGCTACGTGAATCTTATCACTCCATCCTTCAAAGAAGGGACTAGTGCTATGGCTTTGTATGAAATATATTGTGCCGTTTGAGCTCTCATAATTTTTAGTGTATTTTTTCTTTTGCATTTGATTTGTTGTAGCGGAAGGTTACAATCGCAAGTTGACGACTTGTAACAAGGAATATGATCTGAGGCTCTCTGAAAAAGCTTGTCTACGCCAGATTCATGCGGAGTAAAATTTAAAATAAAAATGTGTCATATTCGAGCATAGCATAGCCTCGAGTATGCCTCCTTTATATGTGGAAAGCCGGACCCATCGCCGACAGTGTGAGAGATTGCCCGCCGCTGTAAAAGAGTGAGGGCAAGCGGACGGCAAACGTTAATCTTGGCACTTAGCGCCATGCCACGGCAGCGGCCATTCTCAGAAACACAGTCCGCCGCCGCAAATTGTCTTTGGAAGAAAACAACATATGGTTCAGAAAATAGTCGCTGTCGTAGTGTGGCGCTGGGTGCCACACTACGACAGCTCTCAGGTTGGCATTAAATGCCAGGTGCGAACTCGCTAACGGTAACGTATGACGATGACATTTCGGTACTAGATCCAGACACGTTTCCATGTAGCATCGCTGATGTGCGCATGCGCGAATGGGCAGATGTACTCCTCACCGACCACTGCCAAATAAAACGAGAATAAAGAATCATCTTTTGTTGTTTATGCAGTTTTCGCTTGAAACAGACTGTTCAAGCCTCTCTGAGACCATCATGCATACTTACTTTCAAGGGTCCTAAATTAACGGTGACAGAGGGCTTCCGAGTTCCATTAGATGATGGTAAGTCCTGAAACTTTTTATTGGCATCTGGTTCCAACTGCCAGCACTACATTTGGACGGGGGCTATGCGTTCTGTAATTCGTGTTATAGTTTGTAATTTAAAAAAAATAGTTTTTTTTGTTGTTGTTTTTTTTCTACATTTTGTGTTCAATACTGTAAACATAAAAAAAAAGTCCCGCAAGTTTGATAACAGAGGTCTACAATTAAGGGTTGGGTCTGATGTTATGTCAGAACAGGGGTTCCTAACATAAAGAAAAGCGGCTTTCTATTTATGGTGCTACGTTGCAAACTACGTCAAAACGCAGGTGTACCGCTTGCCTTCTGAATATCATTTGACCCCTCGACGGTTCAGCTCAGGGGTGGATTTAAAGTTGGGCGACCGCCTCCCCTATGGTCTTTCTAAAGAAACTTTTCTTATTAAAGAAACACACACAGCAACCTCCTTTTTTTTTTTTTGGGGGGGGGGGGGGGGGGGGGGGGGGAGGGGCAAATATTGGAAATAAAATAGATTGGGGCAACCCTTCGCCCATGACGTAGCAACGGTAACATACGTCCGTAAGGTCAAACCTTTCAGCAGAACCCCCCCCCCCCCCCCCCCCCACCCCACCACCAAGCCTTATTCGAAAATCCCCCCCTGGTTCAGCTCGTGGTTGGTCCTGAATCTGAACATCGCGCACGCAACACGCACCATTGTCTGCGGTGCCGTGCTGGTTTGCCTATTCACAAATGGCATAAAACGTAGTTTAGCACTGTATGTGACAGGGGTTCCTCTCGAAGCTGAAATCGCGCTCCTACACGTTCCAAACCAGTCCTTCGTTCTCAAAATTTATACTTAAAAAAAAAATTAAAGGGGGAAGGGGGAGAGGGGGAATGGGGGTTCAAATTGGGCTCTTCGTTCTAAGCTGATAATCGAGAAGAAATCTATTTCGAAAGGTATAACCATAATTATAATAATAATCTCTGGGGACAAAGGGGGACAAAGAACAAACACAAATCTCCAATATCTTTCTTATTGTCCAGCTCGCTTGCACATTAGCATTAATTGCATTATCACCACTATAATTAACATAAATTGCATGTTTCAGTTTATGAAATGTTTATTTTTTTTTCACAATTCAAGAAAGTACACAGAAGTTCAAGCGTTTGTCTTTTTTGAGCGGCCAGTGGAATTTCAAGGTAGAGGTACTCAAGTCCTACCGGAGCAGTCTCACCATGGAACTCGAGGAACTCGTGCAATTGTATGAGTCATTTTGTACTGGCCTGCGGGGAGTCGACTTTCGTAATTCGGCGAAGTACGAATTTCGGAGGGGTTCAGTGTAACTGCAGGAAAGAGGCTTTTGGCCAAGTTGGGGTTTCACTACGATGTAGCAGAAGTCGCAAAATCTTAATTCCAAAGTTAAAAAATAATAATAATGAATTTTATGAACGAGAACATATCGAAGCGTTAAGTCTGCCTCCCTGTTGGAAAAATGTCCCAAAGTCTTGCCTGAATGCAGGTCCTTCGAGAATATAAGTTCTTTCTAGCATTCGTGACATAGCTACCAACGTTCCTGCTGCCGAGAAGTGATGTTAGTAAGTAATAAAAATAGACTTGAAAAAGTTAACTTCACGGGGAGTAGTACGTGGCGCTTAAGAAAGAGTCAGAAGCCGGTTTGGTGTCTGTTTCAAACAGACAAGACAGGCAGGTTATCGCTTTCGTATCGACGAAGTAACGCGGGCCTTGTTTGCGGTAAATATTTTTCTTTTTTCTT